GTTTTACAACGTCGTTGCCAAGCGACGTAAACCCAACCCCGATGGCAAAACACCGGGGGGGGGGGGGGGGGGGGGGGGGGGACAACACCAAATCTGCCCAGTTGCAGCACATGCGTACACCGAGCTGTCTGTGTGTTTTCAGTCGGGTATTTTCATGAAAGATACATGTGTTGAAGTGGTCGAACATGCATGATGACGAAAGCACATCACCCAAAAGCCATACACAGCAACATGCAGACACTTGGTGTCAAACTCAAGTCACACAAAAGATACATAATACAACAACCCTTGGTGAAGTAGCCACTGCCGTGAAACCTTCACCCATCCAGGCGCGTCTGTAGACGCCAATCTTTACGTAACAAGGGTCAGTATTGGCAAGGGCAGCAGCAACAGCAGCAACACCGCCATCACCACCACCAACAACAACATCTAAACCAACGATATCAACAGCAGCAGCAGCAGCAGCAGCAGCAGCAGCAGCAGCAGCAGCAGCAGCAGCAATACCTGGTATGTGGTGAGGTTGCTGGAAACGACGAAGACGACGCTCCCGCGAGCCACGACGTTGTCGTTAAGCTCTGCCCCGCGAAGGACCACCTCCGCATTGTCCCGAGCGTAGCTGTTTCGTCGTTCAGTTCGGTTCAGTTTGGTTCCGATTGGTTCCGATTGGTTGAGACTGGTTGAGTTTGGTTTAGTGCGGTTGGATTAGTTTGGGTTGGTTTGGTTCGATAATGTGGTTTGGATTTATTTGGTGATGAGTGTGTACATCGACGCGCCACCGCGCGTGCCAATAAAAAGACGTCAGCATAATGCATACAGCGGGATGAAAAACACGTCAACACGCATGTGTGTGGGCGTGTGGTATTACCATTAGCATCGACCGTGCTACATGCCCAGCTGACCAATCAATGAAAATAAGCCAGTCAAGTATCAAGTGAGGAAAAAACGCAACACGATCCTTCTACAAGCCATGATCTGCGGCCGCGTGAGAGGGCGTCACGGTGAGGGTTGGCTTTTCTCCGGATTCAAGATGGAAATGGCACCACCTGACCGTTCGGCTAAACAAATCATCTGGGTTCATTTCACGCTGCTCAAGTAGTATATCCCCAGTCGAGTCGGTTTTCGGCCAGGGTATACACCCTGTTATGCGCCCGAGAACACGCTCATCAAACTTGTGTGAGCTGAGATATCAGCCCCCCCCCCCTCGGTGGTGTTTGCCATCGGGGTTGGGTTTTCGTCGCTTGGCAACGACGTTGTAAAACAAGCCAATTCACTTCGTGAGCTCGGCAACCAGGTTACCATTTTTTTTTTTTACCTCTGTT